AAGGTGACATACATGCGTGAATCACCCTTCGAATAGAGTTTTCGGACAATAGATTGTATCGAGAAAAGCGTGGAGCGCTTCCCCCTTCCCTCCCACCTCCCATATCGCTTCATAGATGTCATATCGCTTCATAGATTCATGGTGCAGGTTGTCGTCCAGCCAATCCTATCTGCCACTTATGAGGAAGAAAGAAAGAGCATACTGAAAATCCGAAGAAGCGGTGAAAAAACAACAGCTAACGAGTAAGCTGGGTAGCTGGCCGGAAGTAAGAAAGTCGACGGTATACAACAAAACATGTTTTTCGAATTTCCAGATTTTTGAGAATTTATTGAGCATTGGTGTAAAGTGTTCCAGAAATTACGAAACAGCCCAGGAGAACATCCCGTTACAATCTTTCAAAATATCTGAAAAATTGATAAACTGAGATTCAAGAAGAGATTTAGGGAAACAATATTAATGATACCAAAATCCCGAGGCGTCGAAAATGTACATAATGTGTGATTGTAAGAACAAGCTATTGCAGAGTAGCAGGAAAACAAGAAAGATTGAAGTTTTCCGAGAAAGCAATCATTGCAAGCCATTACCCGCTGCGGAGAAAAAGCTGCATTTTTAGTCCTTTGGAAGAGTAGGGAAGCTGGACGGCTTACGCTATTTACAGAGCATCTATCGCAATGTAGACAAGTAGGGAGGGGTGAAAGGGGTGGAGCAAGCTTTCCATCATCAACTATGGGGAAATAGCAAAATTGCAGCGCCACCGACCAGAAGGGGCCCTAAAGTTGCGAAAACCAGCAATGAAAATTTCTATAAAGCAAAAAACACCCATTTTCTCCAAGAACTAGTGGCTTTTGAAGGATTATTCGTGCTAGGAATTTCTGTTTAGCACAGGGAGCGTTTCAAATGCCCCCGCAGCGTTATTGACACTCGACATCCTAGCACGCTTGCATTATTGCAACCATTTTAGTATTTCATAGATCCGCATGAAATCCACGTCCATTATATTGATTTCGGAGAAACTTACGTCTTTCAGAAATCGAGCAGAAAAACGATTTTCAACTGCGCTGGGTAGTCGTGATATATCATTCTCACCAATAAAAAAAAGCTCTAGCTTCACAAAATTGCGTCACTTTGCCCGAGATCTACTTAGGAGAATTTTGGGATGCATCGCCAAGCTTTTGTTGTAGGAAAACCATAATGCTACAGATGAAGAGGTCGGATACAATGAGGGAAAATCAACAGGTCACATTACTTCCGGAGTAAAAAGGATAAAGGATAAAGTCTTTAGCCGTTAATCAATCCCTTTGTGGGATGCGGCACGCATTCTACTTCCATTCAGAATCGTAGTGGCTTATTGAATGCGATGTGGCCTATACAATGACTTGCGGTGGCCAGCCGATGTACAAGTCAGTGTTTTATCCTCCCAGACGAATCTGGTACCAATTTACCGTCCCCGGAGGGCTTGGTTGGCCTGGGCGGGTGTCGACCTGGGATTCGAACCCAGGACCGCGCGAGTGGTAAGCGCGTCACTACACCACCGCCTCACTTCCGAAGTAGTAGGTCAAAAAGGATCTGAAGAGAAGCCGGATTCCTAAGTTCTGAGTCCGCTCCAGGTCAGTGTTATACAGGACCGCCAGGTGATCCCATTGCAATAAATAAACTCACTGGCAAACTTTACATCGCGTAGAAAAGCATGTTGTAAAAAGTTGGATGAAAGAGATTACTGAGACAAGAACTGACGAACTCCTAAAAATGCAGAAGTTAAAGTCGAATACTCAACGCCTGTCAGAAACCCAATCATTCGAAACTCACGGAATTTTTTTCAAGTTAAATCGTTTCAATAAACAATCCGCTGCAGAGCGATTTATCTTTTGAAACACGTCGTACTTCGAGAACGAATCACTATTCTGAAAAAATAGACGAGAGGGAATCAGACATTCGAGACATTATGGGAAAATATTCCAGGGCGCATGTGGCTTTCACAACATATTCGTATCGATTGTTTACCAGTAGACGCAGGCAAAGGGAAACCCATCAACGACCAAACATCTGGCATTTAGTGTGGAAGCATCTCGAAAAATTACCAGCCCACCTAATAGCTGAGGGGTCTGCTCATTTTGAGGAATTAATTACAACAAGCATGCGCAAGGTTTTTGGAAAAATGTACAATTTACGGTTTATAATTAACAATGAATAGAAACTTAGCATTAGAAAGAATTTCTAGGAGAAAATACAAAGGGAATAGTCAGTAGTAGATGGACATCCATCTAAATCCTCGGTTGTTTGGCAACTGGAACGGAAGTTTCCCATCAAGCCAAAGGCCAAGTGTCCAAGTCTTTGTTTTCATTCAGACATGTGGTAAGTTTGCAGAAGCGAGCACGCAACAATATGCGGATAAAGGATAAAGTCTTTGCCGTTTATTAATCAATTTTTGGGATGCAGCATGTATTCTGGTTCCTTGAACAATTGGCTTAGAAGGCGACGTGACCTATACAATGAAACGTGGAGCCGCCGATGTGCAAACCTTCTTGCCCTCCCAGACGGAGCTGTTACCAATTTGCTGTCCGCGATGAGTGAAAGGCTCGTCTGGCCTGAGCGGGAGACAGGGGATTTGACCTCCGAACCGCGCGGAGTTACCTAAGCGACAATAACTGGTGGAAAACACGGTCGTGCTGCGTCAAACTTATGCTCCTTACACGCCCCAGCATCCTCAGCGAACAGACTACCTGCTTCCCCTGAGTGAATTTAGATTTGTGGGAGGAAGCACAGCCGCATTACTATTAGAACGGAATTTGCTACATACAACGATAATCAGAGCAAATTCTACGAGGTTCCGAAGACAGCCTAAATTTCAGCGAAAGCTTCGAATAGTTTGACGATTGAACACGAATCCCGCAATTAGTCAAGAGTGGGATAT